TCGAATTATTTTCAGATGCTCCCGGATCCACTCGGATTTTTTCAAATTCTTCCGAATTCTCTTAAATTTCTTGGATTCTGATTACATAATTATTTCGAATCCTCTGGGACTGTTTTAGTATTCTCACGTATTCTTCGGAAATTTTTGTAATCTTAAAAAGTCCGGATTTTTTACATATTTTATTTTCTCGGACTTTTCCGATTTCCTTCGTATTTTTCTTGATATATCCTTTCGAATTCTTCGGGATTCTCGCAGATTCTAAGAATATTTTAGATTCTCAGTGTTCTTCAGGTTTCTCTCGGATTCTCTCGAATTTCTTCATATTCTCGTATTTTTTCGGATTTTTAAAAACTCTCTAGAATTTTTTCGTAATCTGTGGTATTTTTTCCGAATTCTTTCTCTCATATTCTTTCGGGTTCTTTGCGGTTCTCTCGAATTCACTTTGATTCTCTCGGATGTTTTTTCGGACTCTGTGGGATTTTTTCGTATTCCCTCGGATTCTTCCACATTCTCTTGTGTTCTCCCGAATTCCCTTGGATTCTATCACATTCTTTGGAATCCTCTCAGATTGTTTTCGTATTTTCACGCATTTTCCGGATTTTCTAATATTATTTTCGTATCTTTTCGAACTTTTCCGGACTTTCTCGGCTTTCTTTGTATTTCCACGGATTTTTTCGGATTCTTCCGTACGATTCTCTTCTATTTTTCCGAATTCCCTTGAACTCCCTCATATTTTTTTCGTTGGATTCGCTCGTATTCTTCAGGACTGTCTCGATTCGATTCCTTCGAATTTTTCGTATTCTTATTATTATTATTATTATTATTTTATTGACGGATAACTCCAATTACAATAATAGTACATAAAATAAATATACAAGTATACAAACTTAAACTGCTTAATTAATTCATCTTAACAATAAGAATAATAAGCAATAGAAATGAGAACAGATAAAAAAAAATATATATACATTCATATTACACTGTTTATCATGCCTAAAATCAGAAGACATAAGTAAGAAAAAATAATAGAATTCTAAACTAAAAATTGTGTCGGAAATAATCGCTTTAGTTTTCTTTTAAACTCGTGTTTACCACTGTTGAATAATACGAAATCGTTATATTTATTTAGATGATTTGCTGTCTCCATCATTCTTAAGATAGGATGATTCTTAGTTTTGTTGGTACTAGATGCAGAAATTCTGAACGTCACTGAACTACGCGTAATACGACTATTGGCTGCAGGAATTAAAAACGTTAACTTACTTAACAATAAGGAATTGTCAATGTTACCATTTATGAGACCATGGAGAAAGCAAATATCCGACATACAACGCCTATCCTCTAAAGAGTTTATATTGAGATAACTACAAATCCAAGTGTAATCACCCTGATGATGAGTACGATTAAGTTTAAATTCAATCAAACGAAGAAACTTCTTTTGAACTCTTTCTAGTAGATCACAGTCAACTCTATAATATGGATTCCATACTGGGGAACAATATTCAAGATGAGAACGCACAAATGAAATGTACAACAATTTAATGGACCACTGAGATAAATCACAACAATGACGCCAAATGAAGCCTAACATTCTAATTGATTTATTATAAATATGATAATAATGTTGCTTAAATGTAAGAAATGAATCAAAAATAACGCCTAAATCCTTGATTTCTTTCACACGAGCTATGACAGATCTATCTAACTGATAATTAAAAGTTACCAATGATTTAGAGTTGAGGAAAGAGATCACATAACACTTCTTGAGATTTAGAGGTAGTAAATTGCTCAAAGACCATGCATGTAATCTATTAAGGTCATCTTGCAATTCCATTGCTTCAGTCATAGACTGAACAGATTTAAATAGCTTTAAATCGTCAGCATATAATAAAAAATTCGAATTGTGAAAGCAAGATGTTATGTCATTAATAAATAACAAGAACAAAATAGGACCACAGTGTGAACCTTGTGGGACCCCCGATGTTACAGAAAAGGGAGTAGATAAGTGGTTCCCAATTCTCACCTGTTGCTGCCTATCACTTAAGAATGACGCTAACCACTTTATAGTGTTGTTATTAAAACCATATTTGGATAACTTAAAAAGTAGCAACTTATGATTTACTTTATCGAAGGCTTTAGAGAAGTCGGTATATGCAGCATCAACTTGAAGTTTATTGGCAAAAGCATCATTAAGAAAGGAATAGTATTCAATTAAGTTCGACAGAGTTGATCTATTTTTAACGAAACCATGTTGTTTTTCAGAAATTATGCAGGACGACATACACTGCAATTGTTTAGACACTATGAGGTCAAAAATCTTTGCAATAACAGATTGGTTACACACTCCTCTATAATTATCAGTTCTATTCCGTTCACCAGTTTTAAAGATAGGGATAATATAACTGTTTTTCCAAACTTTAGGAAATTTACATTCATTTAGAGACGATTGAAATAACAAAATCAATGGAAAAGAAACTGTGAAGACACAGTTTTTTAAGAGAATGCTTGGAATCCCATCTGGACCATAATTGGAGGAAGATTTTATTTGGGAAATATGCTCGAACACCTCAGCAATAGACACCTTTAAACCATAATCATTTACTTCCATATCCGGAACAAAATTAAGGTTGAAATTCCTATTGTTCTTTTCATATACAGAAGAAAAAAACTGAGCGAATAAGTTGGAAATTGCATTTCCACCTTTTGCACGTACTTCATTAAAAACCATTTCCTCTGGAATACCATCGCATTTATTTTTATCCTTAATGAATTTCCAAAAGTATTGAGGGTTACTCGACAAACTATATTCTCCCAATTTTTGGAATTCTCTCGGATTTTTCGGATTCTTTCGGATTTTCTAGAATTATTTTCGTATCTTCTGGGATTTTTTCCGGACTTTCTCAGATTTCTTCGTATTTCCTCAGTTTTTTTCCAAATTATCTCACATTTTTCTCTAGAATTTTTTCTATTCTCCTGAATTCCTTTGGATCCTCTCAAATTTGTTTAGTTTCTTCAGGATTCTCGCAGAACATTTTGATTCGCTCGTATTCTTCAGGTCTCTCCTGAATTCTTTCGAATTTGCTTAGGATTTCCTCGAATTTTTCGTATTCTGTCATATTTTTCCCAATTCTTTTGGATCTTTTCGTATTATCTGGGATTTTGCCGGAATTTTCTCATATTCTTTCGGACTCTTTAGGGTTTTCTTGAATTCATTTTGATTTTGTAGTTTTTTTTTTGGATTCTCTGGGATTTATTGTATTCCCTCGTATTCTTTCGACTTCATCCAGATTCTTTTCTGTTCTCCCCAATTCGTATCCTCTCAGAATATTTTGGATTCTCTCTTATTCTTTCGAATTGTTCACGTTGCTCTCGGATTCTCTCGAATTCTCTTGGAATTTTGTTGGCTTTTTTGAGATTCTAGAGGATTCTAGAAAATCCTCTAAGAATATTTTGGATTCTTCCGTACGTTCTTAATTGAAAGAAGCAACCTTTTTTCAGATTTAACGGGACAACTCCAAAACGGAAAAAGGACCCACAGTTCTTTCGATTTCTTGAAGTTCACAAGTTAACCAAACAACTTTTTTTTAAATTTAACGGAACATAACGGTTTGAAGCATTCGATTATTCAAAGTTTTCTTGTCTCGTGAGCAAATTTTCAGACCGGTTACTAGATTCGTTTAATTTGGAGAGGCGAATATAAAAAGAAATCATTTTTGAGTTAAAAAATCGTCTTTTTTTAAATTAAAAGGACAACACTGCCTCCATACAGTTGGGACACTCTGTATATTGTAAAAAACACTTTACGGTAATTTATTCAGCCAGACAATAAGTGTATATCAAAAATGGAGTCAAGTTAACTGTGTCTACACAATTTTTTAGATTTATAAAACTAACACAGTTATAAAATAATCAAATATATTATTAATTATAAAAAATAATTAAGTAAAAAGAATTTAAAAAAGTAGAAATATCCTTCAACTTGTAACAGTATCAGTTAAACGATTAAAAAAACACTGTCTTTATGTTCAGCTTTACGACATAAAATTGAAAAATAATAAAAATAAATAATTAACACTATTGAGTTTAAAATATCTTAAATAGTACAACACACAAGTTCCAATTATTATCGAAATAAAAGCCTAGTTGTAAATTGAAAAAAAATGAAACCTTACATTTGTATTATATATTATACAAATATAGAAAAATGGGAAAATATCTTCTATAAAGCAGTTGCATCATCACAACTAATGTTACTCAAACAACAAGTGAAAAATATGGACATTTGTTGATAATTTGTGTCCACATTTCTTTGAACTTTGTAAACCTTTCCATTAGTAACAGCGTACCAGCACGTGACCTCGCCTTTTGACCAATCAACCCTCGCGCAAAAAATCGCTAATAAATCTCCAATCAATTGTTGCACATTCAATCCACTTTATTATTTCCTGTTTCATCCAGTAAGCCTCTTTTATAGCCCATCCATCACTCCTCTATCAATTACACTAAATCACAATTTAATGACGAAGCAGTCAATTATTCCAGACTTAGCTTTATCAGCTGGTTACAGGAGCATCTGGGGCAAAGAAGCCGTGCAACTTTAAGCCAATTAAACTTTGCTGAGTGTGACAAGTGAAAAGCCGGTGGATTGAGATGGTTTCAGGCCGAGCATAAAACATGTTTGCGAGTTCATTATGAACGGCATTCATATTTCCACAACAAAAACAGGAACTAATTGAGTGTAATTCAATTCCTGCGCGGGGCTTCCGAAGCGCAAAAACGCTGAAAAATTCCACCGGAAAAAAGGCATTCTCCTGCTGAAACACTTGCAGGAGTAGCGTCTGCATGTAAATTTTCCAATTTAAATTTAATTATGGGCCGATTCGGATTTACTGCCTTGTTAGAAAGTCCCGGAACGCGCAAGACAATACGACGGACCGCTGAAATGCAGTCGCGTCGAGCCGCCCTCAAAGGGTGAATCCAGCAAGTGGTTGGACCAAAGACGCTGAAATTTTTCGAAAAATGTCCCGGAAGCTGTGAAGTGAGATGGCCAGTGAGAAGTTGCACGAGTACGAGGGGTTCCTGGGGCGCTGGCACGCCACGAGAGACGGACTGAAGGAGCGCTGGAGCGCCTGGAAGGACGGGAACTTGGCGGAAATCCTGAAGAGCAGGTTTTTCTGCAGGAAGGACGACTCTTCGGGGGTCGTTTACGAAGATTACTCGCATATTTATAGGTGAATATAACCGGATTTATGATTAGTTTGGCTCGTAAATGGCTAATTTTGTCTCCAGACGGAAAACTCGGCCGGAATTGATTCGCATTTCAGCAGCTGTAATGGGCATCGAGTTCTCATATTCTGCGGAAACTGCTTTTGTATCGCCTACTTTATTGAAAATTGGCGTCGAACACAAACATATGACTTTAGTCTGGGCTCTGTCACCGCTTATTGGATTTTTTCTCACTCCGATCCTGGGATCTTTGAGCGATCGCTGCCATTCGGGATTCGGGAGGAGGAGGCCGTTTATATTTATTATGTCTGTGGGAGTCCTGATCGGTGAGTAATCGCTTGAATATGCGGATTTTACATTTTAATGGGGATCGAACAGAATTTTCCTGATAATCTTAATGTAGTAGATTATAAAAAAAAAAGTTAAATTATCTGTGACGCCATCTTGACGTGATTTGCTAAATTTAACCCACTTTGTACGGACAAAGTCGATACTATAACTAGTTTTGGAAATATCCGGAGTCAAATTTGACATATATTATTTGGAAGATTCAGGAAAACTGGAGCTTTTGGCGAAGTTGCCTAAAATCACAATAAACTTGAAGATCTCAAGTCAAAACTGACGGCAAATATCAAAAATTCCTGAGCAATCGTTGCATTTTTATTAAGTGAGACCTATATTTAGCGCAATTCTGTAAAAAAAAGTCGATACCACAACTGGTTTTCGAAATATTTGTTTTCAAATTTAAATTTCCGAACAATCTCAAAATTTATCACATTTCTATTCAGTGATTCTGAGAAAATGGGAGCAGTTAGAGAAAAAATGATGAGGAAACTTCTACATGTTGAAATTAAGAAACGTAAATTTTTTGGGATTTTTCGGAGAATGGTCAAAAATTTCGAATAACCCGAAAATTTGAACTTTTGGCGAATTTGTCCACAAACCACAACAAAATCTGGAATATAGATTTCGAGAAGCTGAATCGAAAAACATAACATGTTGATATTCCGGATCAAAATTGGAGGTGAATATCAAAAATTCCTGAACAATCGTTGCATTTTCACTAAGGGATACCTATATTTAGCGCAATTCTGGAAAAAGTGGGACCTCAAAAATTATGAAAAAAATCATACTTGCGCAAACAAGATCCACCTATTGGGAAAAATAATCCAAAGTCGATACGACAACTGATTTTCGAGATATTCGCTTTCAAATTCAAATTGTCGAACAATCTCAAAATTTATCACATTTCTATTCAGTGATTCTGACAAAATGGTAGCAGTTAGAGAAAAAGTGATGCCGTAGGAAACTTCTACATGTTGAAATTAAGAAACGTAAATTTTTTGGGATTTTTCGGAGATTGGTCAAAAATTTCGAATAATAGGAAAATTTGAACTTTTGGCGAATTTGCCCAAAAAACCACAACAAAATCTGGAATATAGATTTCGAGAAGCTGAATCGAAAAACATAACATGTAGAAATCCCGGACCAAAATTGGAGGTCAATATCAAAAATTCCTGAACAATCGTTGCATTTTTACTAGGTGACACCTATATTTAGCGCAATTTTGGAAAAAGTGGGAGCTCAAAAATTATAAAAAAAATCATACTTCCGCAAACAAGATCCACCTACTGGGAAAAATAATTAAGAGTCGATACGACAACTGGTTTTGGAAATATTCGCTTTCAAATTCAAATTCTCGAACAATCTCAAAATTTATCACATTTCTATTCAGTGATTCTGAGAAAATGGGAGCAGTTAGAGAAAAAGTGATGCCGTAGGAAACTTCTACATGTTGAAATTAAGAAACGTAAATTTTTTGGGATTTTTCGGAGATTGGTCAAAAATTTCGAATAATACGAAAATTTGAACTTTTGGCGAATTTGCCCAAAAAACCACAACAAAATCTGGAATATAGATTTCGAGAAGCTGAATCGAAAAACATAACATGTTGAAAGCCCGGACCAAAACTGGAGGTGAATATCAAAAATTCCTGAACAATCGTTGCATTTTTACTAAGGGATACCTATATTTAGCGCAATTCTGGGAAAAGTTGGAGCTCAAAAATTATAAAAAAAAATCATACTTGCGCAAACAAGATCCACCTACTGGGAAAAATAATTAAGAGTCGATACGACAACTGGTTTTGGAAATATTCGCTTTCAAATTCAAATTCTCGAACAATCTCAAAATTTATCACATTTCTATTCAGTGATTCTGAGAAAATGGTAGCAGTTAGAGAAAAAGTGATGCCGTAGGAAACTTGTACATGTTGAAATTAAGAAACGTAAATTTTTTGGGATTTTTCGGAGAATGGTCAAAAATTTTGAATAACCCGAAAATTTGAACTTTTGGCGAATTTGCCCAAAAAACCACAACAAAATCTGGAATATAGATTTCGAGAAGCTGAATCGAAAAACATAACTTTTTGGGGATTTTTCGGAGAATGGTCAAAAATTTTGAATAACCCGAAAATTTGAACTTTTGGCGAATTTGCTCTGGGAAAATGGTAGCACTAAAGAAAAAATAATGCCGTAGGAAACTTCTACATGTTGAAATTAGGAAACATAATTTTTTTGAAATTTTCGATGGTCATTGGAGAACGGTCAAATTTTTTTTAGTGTATTTTGAATTTCTTATGAAATTTCGACCAGAAATTTTAGATTCCCAGGCTAAGTTTAACTTTTTAGCTTTTTTCTAGTTTTATGAACAAGCAGTAGCCCCGCCCACCCACCCTCTCTTCATTCCAGTGAAAACTCTTAATATTGTCTAGTCTTATTTTAGCAAAGTTTTAGCTCCCACCCTTTATTTTCTTAGAGGGTATGTCATTCACCACAATCACTCATCTTAACAAGTATTAGCCCCGCCCACCCACCCTTTACTTTCTTCGAAAGTAAATCATTTATCAAAATCAGTCCTATCTTAGCAAATACTATCCCCGCCTACCCTTCTATTTTCAGTCTAATGATTTTATTTCTGTTCAGTATGAGATCCACCTTTCATTCATGCTAGATAAAATGAATCAATGAAATGGTGACGAAGTTTGTGGGCGGAGCTAAGTTTAACTTTTTCCTAGTCTTTTATAGGCAAGCAATAGCCCCACCTACCCGCCCTCTCTTCATTCCAGTGATTACTTTTAATTTAGTTCTTATTTCAGAAGGAAGAAATGAAAGAATGGGTGGGTGGGTGGGGCTAAGTTTAACTTTTCCTACCGAATTTTTATAATAATAATAATAATAATAATAATCATAAATACCGCCCACCCATCGTTTATTTTCTTAGAGGATATATTACCACAATCAGTTTTAGCTAGTATCAAGTACTAGCCCCACCCACCCGCCCTCTGTTTTCATACAGGGTATGTCATTTGCCAAAATCAGTCTTATCTTACCAAGCACTAGCCCCGCCCACCCACCCTCTGTTTTCTTAGAGTATAAGTAATTTACCAAAATCAGTCTTATCTTACCCAGTACTAGGTAAGATAAGACAGATTTTGGCAAATCACATTCTATAAGAAAACAACGGGTGGGTGGGTGGGGCTAGTACTTGCTAAGATAAGACTGATTTTGGCAAATGACATACCTTGTAAGAAAATAAAGGGTGGGTGGGCGGGGCTAGTATTTGATAAGATAAGACTGATTTTGGCACTTTTGACATATTCGACCACTTTTCAACTATTTATTTTCGAAAATTAGCCAAAACATTATCTTGTAGATTTCGATATCCAGAAGTCATTTTCGCCGTCGTTTCATCGAAAATTCCTACCATTTTTCTAAAATCGCTAATTGAAATATAGCAATTTTCATAGTCTTGTCAAGATACCTCGGTAAAAAAGGATATGTCATTCTGGAAGATAGATTTTGACGAGCTGAATAAAAAACATAAGCTGTTGATCATCCTGGACCCGAGATTGAGAAAGAACAATCGTTGTGGATATTTTCGTTAAGGACATATTTTGTGTAATTCTGGAAAAACTGAGCAGTCGAAAATTATGAAAATTTGAGTTTTTGGCGAAGTTGACTAAAAATCCTCAAAAAAATCTAGAAGATAGATTTCGACGAGCTGAATAAAAAACATGATGTGTTGATGGTCCTGGACCGAGATTGTAAGAGAAAATGAAAAATGAAAGAACAATCGTTGTAGATATTTTTGTTAAGAACATATTTTGTGTAATTTTGGAAAAACTGAGCAGTGAAAAATTATGAAAAAAATCGTGCTTGGGCAAAAATTATTATCTATCTATCAGAGAAAATAATCCAAAGTGAATATGACAACTCGTTTTCAAAATATTCGCTTTCAAGTTCCAATTTTTAAAAGATCTCAAAAATTTGTCACAATTCATTTTGGTGTTTCCGGAAATATGGGGACAATTACAAAAAAAAATATGCCGTAAGAAACTTCTGGAGACTGAAAATAACGAACATAATTTTTTTGGGAATTTTCGACGGTGTCTAGAAAATAGTCAAAAATTACAAATATTGAGGTATCGAAAATTTTAATTTTGGCTAAAAATCCTCAAAAAAATCTGGAAAATAGATTTCGACGCGCTGAATAAAAAAACATAAGGTGTTGACCGTTCTGAACCGAAATTGCAAACGAAAATGAAAAATGAAAAAACAATCGTTGCAGGTATTTGTGTTAAGAACAAAATTTTGTGTAATTCTGGAAAAACTGAGTTGTCAAAAATTATGAAAAAAATCGTGCTTGGGCAAAAAGTATCTATCTATCAGGAAAAATAATCCAAAGTCGATACGACAACACTGATTTTCGAAATATTCGGTTTTAAGTTCCAATTTTTAAAGGATCTCAAAATTTGTCACAATTTATTTTGGTGTTTTCGGAAATATGGGAGCAATTACAAAAGAAATGATGAAGAAACTTCTCGAGATCAAAAATAACGAAAATAAATTTTTGGGAAATTTTCGATGGTGCTCAGAAAATAGTCAAAAATTCTAGATATTGAGGTATCGAAAATTTAAATTTTGACTAAAAATCTTCGAAAAAATCTGGAAAATAGATTTCGACGCGCTGAATAAAAAAACATAAGGTGTTGACCGTTCTGAACCGAAATTGCAAACGAAAATGAAAAATGAAAAAACAATCGTAGGTATTTGTGTTAAGAACAAAATTTTGTGTAATTCTGGAAAAACTGAGTTGTCAAAAATTATGAAAAAAATCGTGCTTGGGCAAAAATTATCTATCTATCAGGAAAAATAATGCAAAGTCGATACGACAACACTGATTTTTGAAATATTCGGTTTCAAGTTCCAATTTTTAAACGATCTCAAAATTTGTCACAATTAATTTTGGTGTTTTCGGAAATATAGGAGCAATTACAAGAGAAATGATGACGTAAGAAACTTCTGGAGATCAAAAATAACGAAAATAAATTTTTTGGAAATTTTCGACTGTGCTCAGAAAATAGTCAAAAATTACAAATATTGAGGTATCGAAAATTTGAATTTTGGCTAAAAATCCTCAAAAAAATCTGGAAAATAAATTTCGACGCGCTGAATAAAAAAACATAAGGTGTTGGCCGTTCTGAACCGAAATTGCAAACGAAAATGAAAAATGACAAAACAATCGTTGCAGGTATTTGTGTTCAAAACAAAATTTTGTGTAATTCTGGAAAAACTGAGTTGTCAAAAATTATGAAAAAAATCGTGCTTGGGTAAAAATGATCTATCTATTAGGAAAAATAATCCAAAGTCAATACTACAACTTGTTTTGAAAATATTCGCTTTCAAGATTTCATTTTGACGATTATGGAAATGTAGGAGCATTTAGAAAAGAAATGATGCCTTAAGAAAGTTCTGGAGATCGAAATTAACAAAGATACATTTTTTAACATAACTAGATGAAGAAAACCTAAAACCCACTCGAACCATTATTTTTTAGGACTTCTCCTAGTTCCAAACGGCGAAATCCTAGGCTACCTAGCCGGCGACTCCAAGCCCCCCAACATCACCTACCCCTACCACCGCCCAAGCCTCCTCCACCCCTCCCAAAACCAAACCTCCATCGAAACCCCACCCTACAACAACTCCCACCCTTGGGGAATCCTCTTCACAGTCCTAGGAACCGTCCTCCTAGACTTCGACGCCGACGCCTGCCAAAGCCCCGCAAGAGCATACCTCCTGGACGTCACCATTTCTGGTAATTCACCCCCAAATACTCCCCCACACACTTAAAACCACATTTACAGAGGACCACGCCAGAGGCCTGAGCACGTTCACCGTAATGGCAGGACTTGGAGGCTTCCTGGGCTACGCTTTAGGGGGAATCAACTGGGACGTCACCCCCATAGGTACCCCGACAACCTTCTCATCAAACACAATTAACAAAAATCTCCCCAGGGACCTTTCTTGGTGGACACGTACGAGCAGTTTTCACTCTAACAACCCTCATCTTCATGGTGTGTGTATCTTACACTATCACCAGTTTCAAAGAAATGCCTCTGGATTTGGTCGAGTTGAGGAGTAGTCTGGATGAACCAAACGAAGAGGAAAACCTCGATACCCAAAATGAGCAGAATTACGGGAGTTTGGAGATGGAGGAATCACAGGTTGGGTTGACAAGATTTTTCCCGGGTTTTGATTTTTGGGTTCTAGGAGGAGGACAATCGCTACGTTTCGATCAATGATGATGTTAAACCCAAACCAAGGAAGAGTATTGTGCCTTCGCCGCATGCCTCGTTGGGGATTTATTTGAAGAGTATTGTTTATATGCCAAAGTCGCTCAAAATTTTGTGTTTGACTAATCTCTTTTGCTGGATGGCGCACGTTTGCTACTCTTTGTATTTTACCGATTTTGTGGGGGAGGCAGTTTTTGGCGGGAATCCAACGGTTGTGGTAAGAAACGTCATAGTAGTGTCCCTAAAGGGTAGTTTTTAGGAAACTGAAGGTAATCCTGATCGGGAATTGTATGAAACGGGAGTCAGATTTGGGTGCTGGGGGATGTCTATGTATTCTCTGTCGTGTGCTTGCTATTCTATGGTTATTGAAAAACTTATCAAAACCTTTGGGTAAGTAAAAAAACGATAAATAAAGGGTAAGAAAACTACAAAACCTTAATCATTTATTGTCAAAAAGGGCCAAAAGGGTCTACGTTGGTGGCCTCCTTATCTACTCTACTGGAATGTTCCTAATGGCTGTCACAAAGCACAAAGTCGGGGTAATTTTATTCAGCTGGACGGCTGGAGTCATGTATTCTACTCTCTTTACCATGCCGTACCTTCTCATTGCCCACTACCATGCCCACGGAACGGTAATTCCCCACAATACTACCAGATAACCTCTAATATTTTTTTTAGTTTGAAAAAACTGGAGAAAGTGGAGGAAAAATCACCCCACAAATCCGAGGTCTGGGCACTGACGTCGCCATAGTGTCCAGCATGGTCTTCCTTGCCCAGTTCATCTTGTCCATGGGCATGGGTTACATTGTCAACACCGTGGGAACCACAACGGCTGTGGTCAGTGTGGCCAGCGCTCTAGCCTTCTGTGGGGCCATCGCAGCGTCCCAAGTTGTCTACTTAGACCTATAAGTGGCCACAGAGGGCGCTTCTGCCCTACACATCAAACCAAAACTGTCAAATCGTGCAGGTGCACCCAATACCCGAAGTGCCCTCTCCCCGCCGCCGTAGAACAATTATTTATAACCATAAAAATGCATGACAAATGTATGTCCTTGTAACAATAATATTTGTAAGTCTGTATATTTTCGAGCAGTGTGCCAAACACCACGAAACATAAAACTGTTTTTCTCCACTTGGAAAAAATGACGAACAGGAACCAGCCGACTCAAACCAGTTAGGAATCTTTGGCAAATGTCGTACGTTGTGTGATTTTGAAATGTTAAGTATCGCCGTTGTAAAAAATAAAAGTATAAAAATCCGTTTTATGACTACACCTAATGGCTAACCTCGGACCGTAAGAAATAATTTCTAAAAAAAAATCAAAAACAGACTTTTACGAGCGTCGTGCTGCGATGGCATAATATTTATTTTTCTGGGATTTATTTTATTTTATTTCGCGAAAATAAGTTTATTGGGCGGCCGGAGTCAATGTCATTGTCGACGAAATCGCGGATGATGTCACCGAAGTTGTGCATTAATTAAGTTTTGTGGTTTGATTAAAATAGACGGATCATCTGGTGCTAAGTCGTATACCTTCGGTCTTTTAATAACAGAACTTGGCAACAACTTGCTTTTATTTCGGACACAAATTAGTTCGGCAAAGGAGAAATGTTTATTGTTTTGCTGTTTCTTGGGTTGGGATGATTAAAGTGCTGTTACTGCACGTATTTTAGGACTGACGTAGGCCGGGTGCTATAGACACTGATAAAAAAGTAATTAAATTATTTGTTTGGCTAAATATTTGTGTGATAGGAGCGAAAGCGACATGTGCTGTTGTTAAGATAAAATGTTGCTTTGTTCTTCGGAAAGTGGCATAACTGGGTATTTTTAAAACTGGCATATTTTTGTTGATTCTTCAGGAATTTCAAGCTGGGAGCTTTGGAGAAAAATAAACAGCGGAAATTTCCATCTTTTAGTTTACAGCCTACCTGAATGCTTTCTCGTGTTCCAAACAATTTTAATTCGAACTTCAACAGCCGACAAAAAAGGAGATAAGAGTTGGACACAATTTTAACACTTAGGTTGGCAATTCTGCTCTCTAAATGACATATTTTACCGTGTTTTAAGATTAAAACTGACATAGCATTTTATTGTAATATATATGACAACTCTACTAAAAACTACACTAAAAAAAGCCTTTTAGGCCATTTTTGACATTAATACATGTGTGTCAAAAAACCAAGTACAACTTTTTTCTGTTGACGTAACTAAATTCGTCAAATGAAAATGTCAGATTTACGCCAGCTGAATCCACGTGGTTATAAAAACGAAAAAGTGTGACGTTTTTATAACCTCAGTAACTCCCACTGACGTAAATTTGACATTTATAGTTTGGAAAATGCAGTTCCGCCAACAGTGGGAACTTTAAAATACCACTTTTCAGTAAGTTTTAACTGCTACTACGAATTTATAAAAAATTTGTTGTCCTAAGAAATTTCTGGAAATTCAAATTAACGAAGAATCATCAAAAATCAATCTCTGTATTTTGGTTAAGGACATATTTAACGCATTTCTGGCAAAACTGACCAAACAAAAATTGCCAAAAAAATCATGCTGACGCAAAAATGATCTATCTATCAGGAAAAATAATCTAAATTCGATACGACAGCTAGTTTTCGCAATATTCGGTTTCAAGTTCCAATTTCGAACATCAAGGTACTGAAAATTTGAGTTTTTGGCAAAGTTGCATAAAAATCCCCAAAAAATTCTCGAAGGCACATTTCAACAATCTGAATCAAAAAACATAAGGTGTTGATAGTCCTAGACTAAGATTACAAGCAAAAATCAAGAAATTTAAGAGCAATCGCTATATTTTGAAAGGATATATATTTAACACACTTCTAGCAAAATTTGATAGTCGAAAATTATCAAAAAAATTGTGCTTGCGCAAAAATGAACTAATTATCAGAAAAAATAAACCAAGGTCCATGCGACAACTGGCTTTAGAAATAGTCGCTTTTAAGTTCCAATTTTTAATTAATCTCAAAATTTGTCAAATTTCATTTTGGTGATTTTGGAAATGTGGGAGCATTTAGAAAAGAAATGATGGCGTAAGAAACTTATAGAAATCGAAATTAACGAAGATAAATTTTTTTGGAAATTTTCGACAGGGTTCAGAAAATGGTAAAAAATTTCGAATATCGAAGTACTGAAAATTTGAGTTTTTGGCGAAGTTGCATAAAAATCCACAAAAAATTCTCGAAAATAGATATCAACAATCTGAATCAAAAAACATAATGCTGATAGTCCTAGACTAAGATTGCAAGCAGAAATAAAAGAATTTCTGAGCAATCGCTATATTTTTTAAGGGATATATATTTAACACACTTCTGGCAAAATTTGATTGTCAAAAATTATCAAAAAAATTGTGCTTGCGGAAAAATGAACTAATTATCAGAAAAAAATAATCCAAGGTCCATGCGACAACTGGCTTTAGAAATAGTCGCTTTTAAGTTCCAATTTTTAATTAATCTCAAAATTTGTCAAATTTCATTTTGGTGATTTTGGAAATGTGGGAGCATTTAGAAAAGAAATTATGGTGTAAGAAACTTATAGAAAACGAAATTAAGAAAGATACATTTTTTGGAAATTTTCGACAGGGTTCAAAAAATGGTAAAAAATTTCGAATATCGAGGTACTGAAAATTTGAGTTTTTGGCGAAGTTGCATAAAAATCCCCAAAAAATTGTCGAAGATAGATTTCAACAATCTGAATCAAAAAACATAAGGTGTACATACTCCTAGACTAAAATTTCAAGCAAAAATCAAAAAATTTCAGAGCAATCGCTATATTTTTTAAAAGATATATATTTAACACACTTCTGGCAAAATTTGATAGTCGAAAATTATCAAAAAAATTGTGCTTGCGCAAAAATGAACTAATTATCGGAGAAATTATCCAAGATCAATGCGACAACTGGCTTCAGAAATATTCGCTATCAAGTTCCAATTTTTAAAGAATCTCAAAATTTGTCAAATTTCATTTTGGCGATTCTGGAAATGTGGAAGCATTTAGAAAAGAAATTATGGCGTAAGAAACTTATACAAATCGAAATTAACGAAGATACATTTTTTGAAATTTTCGACAGGATTCACAAAATGGTAAAAAATTTCGAACATCGAGGTACTGAAAATTTGAGTTTTTGGCGAAGTTGCATAAAAATCCCCAAAAAATTCTCGAAGATAGATTTCAACAATCTGAATCAAAAAACATAAGGTGTACATACTCCTAGACTAAGATTTCAAGCAAAAATCAAAAAATTTCCGAGCAATCGCTATATTTTTTAAAAGATATATATTTAACACACTTCTGGCAAAATTTGATAGTCAAAAATTATCAAAAAAATTGTGCTTGCGCAAAAATGAACTAATTATCAGAAAAAATAATCCAAGGTCCATGCGACAACTGGCTTTAGAAATAGTCGCTTTTAAGTTCCAATTTTTAATTAATCTCAAAATTTGTCAAATTTCATTTTGGTGATTTTGGAAATGTGGGAGCATTTAGAAAAGAAATGATGGCGTAAGAAACTTATAGAAATCGAAATTAACGAAGATAAATTTTTTGGAAATTTTCGACAGGGTTCAGAAAATGGTAAAAAATTTCGAATATCGAAGTACTGGAAATTTGAGTTTTTGGCGAAGTTGCATAAAAATCCCCAAAAAATTCTCGAAGATAGATTTCAACAATCTGAATCATAAAACATAGGGTGTTGATAGTCCTAGACTAAGATTACAAGCAAAAATCAAGAAATTTCCGAGCAATCGCTATATTTTTAAAGGATATATATTTAACATACTTCTAGCAAAATTTGATAGTCAAAAATTATCAAAAAAATTGTGCTTGCGGAAAAATGAACTAATTATCAGAAAAAATAATCCAAGGTCCATGCGACAACTGGCTTTAGAAATAGTCGCTTTTAAGTTCCAATTTTTAATTAATCTCAAAATTTGTCAAATTTCATTTTGGTGATTTTGGAAATGTGGGAGCATTTAGAAAAGAAATGATGGCGTAAGAAACTTATAGAAATCGAAATTAACGAAGATAAATTTTTTGGAAATTTTCGACAGGGTTCAGAAAATGGTAAAAAATTTCGAATATCGAAGTACTGAAAATTTGAGTTTTTGGCGAAGTTGCATAAAAATCCCCAAAAAATTCTCAAAGATAGATTTCAACAATCTGAATCAAAAAACATAAGGTGTACATACTCCTAGACTAAGATTTCAAGCAAAAATCAAAAAATTTCCGAGCAATCGCTATATTTTTTAAAAGATATATATTTAACACACTTCTGGCAAAATTTGATAGTCAAAAATTATCAAAAAAATTGTGCTTGCGGAAAAATGAACTAATTATCAGAAAAAATAATCCAAGGTCCATGCGACAACTGGCTTTAGAAATAGTCGCTTTTAAGTTCCAATTTTTAATTAATCTCAAAATTTGTCAAATTTCATTTTGGTGATTTTGGAAATGTGGGAGCATTTAGAAAAGAAATGATGGCGTAAGAAACTTATAGAAATCGAAATTAACGAAGATAAATTTTTTGGAAATTTTCGACAGGGTTCAGAAAATGGTAAAAAATTTCGAATATCGAAGTACTGGAAATTTGAGTTTTTGGCGAAGTTGCATAAAAATCCCCAAAAAATTCTCGAAGATAGATTTCAACAATCTGAATCATAAAACATAGGGTGTTGATAGTCCTAGACTAAGATTACAAGCAAAAATCAAGAAATTTCCGAGCAATCGCTATATTTTTAAAGGATATATATTTAACATACTTCTAGCAAAATTTGATAGTCAAAAATTATCAAAAAAATTGTGCTTGCGGAAAAATGAACTAATTATCAGAAAAAATAATCCAAGGTCCATGCGACAACTGGCTTTAGAAATAGTCGCTTTTAAGTTCCAATTTTTAATTAATCTCAAAATTTGTCAAATTTCATTTTGGTGATTTTGGAAATGTGGGAGCATTTAGAAAAGAAATGATGGCGTAAGAAACTTATAGAAATCGAAATTAACGAAGATAAATTTTTTGGAAATTTTCGACAGGGTTCAGAAAATGGTAAAAAATTTCGAATATCGAAGTACTGGAAATTTGAGTTTTTGACGAAGTTGCATAAAAATCCCCAAAAAATTCTCGAAGATAGATTTCAACAATCTGAATCATAAAACATAGGGTGTTGATAGTCCTAGACTAAGATTACAAGCAAAAATCAAGAAATTTCCGAGCAATCGCTATATTTTTAAAGGATATATATTTAACAT